TTCTTATGATGCTGCTTCAGCTGATATATATTTGTTGTCAAAACACTGTACCTTTCAGTACATATGTTGTTAAAATAAAATGAACAGTCCAATGATCATTTTACTGATATGTATAAAGACTGCAAAGGCTGAAAAATCTTGAAGTCTGTATGAAATTGGAGGTAGTTTGAGGATTAAATTTTTTATGCTTTTTAAGCTCAAAAAAGTGGGGGTCGTATTATACATGAGATCGTATTATACACGAATAAATACGGTACATTAAAATACTTCATGATAAATAAAAGAAAAACAAGAAACACACGAAACATACATTTTCTTGTGTACTTTGAGTCTCTAGGAGTACAGAAAAGTTAAATTTAGTTTCTCCTGGTGCTGCGTAAATACCTTTATATTCTGTTCGGGTTGTATTTTTCAACCTGTTCAGTTTTCTCTATTTTCTTTGAGGTTTTCTGAAATATTACAAATTATTTGTGACAGATTGGCGAAATAAGGTCTGAACTTACCAACTACAATTTGGTGGTCTTCATTCTCCTCTGGCTCTGGGTCAGACTCTGACTCCAACATGTAAGACTGGATGAAAAAGTCTTCCCTTGTTGACGCCTTTTGATTAATTTGTAAATAAAACATTTTTGAACAGCTACTGTATAGTCCTAAACCCTTCTATCAATGAATCTGTCTGGAAGCAGGAAGGAGGCGGGGCATAAAGCGTCTTGTTTGGATTTAAAGAGACAGCCTCAAAACGAGTGACACACCCCAGAAAAAGGGCGGGGCTTGTGGAGTTACAATAAGGAGGAATTCAGACAAAAACATTGCAGCTCCACTTTATTTAGACCCAAAGTGAAGGATTTAAAAGCATGATGTGTGTACTTGTGTAGCTTCTTTCCTGCAGATTAATTTAAAAGAAAATAAAGAACTCCAGATTCTTCTAATAACAGAGACAGTTCATTTGAACTAGAATGTAATTCTATTTAAAGTTTAGGATTAATCTTCATCTTGTCTCTCTGTACCCTGATTTAATGAGTTTGTACTGGACTTATCTTAAGTGTGGCTCATGAGGAGCATTTAACAACATCCCTTTCTTCTTCACAAACTGCTCAGACAGCCTGTGTTTCTGCTCTCCTCTCAGCAGGACTTGGTACGGTTAATGGAGGAGGACCAGGGGGAGTACCCCGACTCGCTGCTTTACCACTTCCCCTCTCAGCTGCGACTGGACGCCCTGCCCGAGCTGGTGGACGTCAGCGTCAGCCGAACCCTGATCGCTGCCCTCCTCATCGCGCTCAAGGCCAACGGTGAGCTCAGACTGGTGTGTCCTCGGGTGGACGAAACAAGTTTATAATAGTATAAGTTAAAACAAGTTACCTGTGTGTGTCCTGGTGCAGGTTCTCAGGGTGTGTTCTGCGAGGTGCAGCCCACGGACCATCAGAGGCTGGAGTTCCTAACCAAACTGGGCTTCCTGGAAATCCTGAGAGGAGAAGCCAGGAGCAGGGAGGGGGTGGTGCTGGGGAGGCTGCTCTGAACACGTTCAACGCGCAAACACACACACCTTCACACATCCACAGCTCCGAACAAACACGAGAAACATGAACATCTATCAGCTTGTCGACTGATACGACTTGTACCGGGTTTATGAAAGTTCTTTGTGTCTTCAAACACAGGAAATAGGAAACTGTCACGACTGCTCTCATGGTTTCATGGGTCGTCATCGAGGTGTGGTGTTAAAAACACTCCTAACATCAAACCAAATAATGTTTACTCTCTTTTAGCTCAATGATTGTTTACATGCATGAACATCGTGGAGGTTTGTTCAGAGCAGGGCTACATGTACGACCATGTAAAACACAAGCAAATACGATTTTAAAGGCATGCGCTTCGAAACAAACTCAACTTCCCATTGGATGTGTGTCACCCATTAGAGTTGTAAAAAGCTTAAGAACTCATTTCTGCATGCTAAAACTCAGTAGAGACTGAGACACCAAAAAAACAAACAAAAAAACCTATAAAATATGTTCGTACACTGACTGTAACAGAGTTTACATTTGGTTCTGTTGGGTCAAACAAACCTCTTCCTGTTTTCACAGCTGTCAGAACATTTCCAGTGTGTGTTCAGTTTGTTTGAGTGTTGTGTGGAGCTTAAACACACACACACACACACACACACACACACACACACACACACACACACNCACACACACACACACACACACACACACACACACACACACACACGATCAAATGAAGCACAAGCACTCACAATCAAAACTTTTCACTGAAAGTATGTCGGACCATGAATGTTCATTTCTTTTTATTTCACTCAAAAAAAAGTACAATTTGTGCAAGTATTTATTTATTTATTTATTTATTTATTTATTTTTTTTTTTACAAATATGCTTAATCAGATTGAAAGGCACTTTTGTACGATTAATTTTGAAAGTCTCAATGACGTTTTTCTTTAAGGTGCTTAATATCAATAATAATAAATAATAAAGTTAAGTTTGGAGATCACTTAGACCAAAAAAAAAGAATAAAAAAAGAAATGCACGATGTGAAGCAAAGTCTAAAAAATGTTTCTCCATTCCAAAACGTCACGGCACTTTTGAAGAAAAAAAAATAACATGTTTCGGGGTAAAGATGGGGGTGTTTCTGTGTTGTGATTAGAAATGTGTGTAATTTTAGGCAAGTGTGTTGTAGAAAACAGCAGGGGGGATTTAAACAGTCAACATGAACCACTGTGAAAAACGGAGACAAAATGAACTTTTAATTCTGAGGCCAACAATCGTAACATTCTGTTCACCACTAATGACACTAACAGGTTTTATTTTAACTCCTGGTTGAAGCAGCAGATAATTGTTTCTGTTTTGTAACAAACGGTTCAGTGCAGCGCAGCACGTCTATGCAGGGTAACAAATAAAAAAAACTAAAATGAAGAATTCAGTCTGTTTTTTTATTTTTAAGTAACAGTAAGAACTGTCACTCTAAAGCAATGTTTTTGAACTAACTTGTTGATTTTCATGTTTATTAAAAGAACTTTTCTTTCCCCTTTCAGCTGCCTGTTTTTTTGTTCGTTTGTTTTAGTCAAAACTAGTGATGATTCTTCATAAACAGAAATTCTTGAATAAAAATAACAAAAGTTTTCTTTTCCTCAGCGCTCAATATTTAATTATTGAACCTGCACTGCCAATCAGAGGACAAATGATGCAGTGGCAGCTTTTTACAAATATTTATGCAGTTTTCACTTTAAAACCTACAACAATTGAATATTTTCTATATAAAAAAGGTAATTTTATATTAAAAAAACTACTAAAATAAGAGACTATATTTACACATCTGTGCTCTCCCTGTCCTCCGTGGTCCCAGCCTCCCATTGGCTGCGGTGGCGCAGGTTGCTTTCAGGAGCCTTCACTTGACCAATGGGGATGCGGTACGTAGCTAAGCTGCCGGTTAACAGCAACATCAGTGTGGATGCTAGTGTAGACGCCCAGCTGCATGCTGGGAGACCGACCTATGCAGGGAGAGAGGACATTTAATAATGAATATGAGGGAGGTGGCTGCTTCCTTTTATTTTAAATGCTGATAATAATCAGGTTTATTATTTATTTACATGAGAGGCATTTTAGCAAGACAGTTGATTGTGATGGATCGAAGCAAATCATGATAAAGCTGAGGATAAATTATGATTTAATCACAAAGTAATAAAATAAATGAGGATGTTGGAAGAAGGGAAGCGAGGACATCAGTTAATAAATGAGCAGTTTGAGCTCTGATGTGTTGGTTTTATCACCTGATTTAACTAATTGACTTGGATAAGTTATGAAACGGTGCAATAACACTTCGCTTCAATTGTCACGAACCCCTCAGCATGAATAATAATATATTGTTTAACCTTTAGTGGAATTATACATGATAATTGTGAGTGGGTGCAGAGCTCTGAAGCATCATTTTATCTAAAAGCGTGCTGATGAGATTAATGAGCCGTTAAATTAAGTGGAATAAAAAAAACATTTTCTTCGGGAAAAATTTAACAAATAGAATTAATGTCACAAAAAACAAACATCACTGTAACATTCTGCAGCTCTCTGATGATCAAAGCTTCATAGGGTTTGTTCTTTAAGTCTATTTAGATTTATCCATTTAGTTTTAATTTAAAAAGCCAATTTTCCCTCTTGCTGTTTTATTTTGAAGAGTCTGCTTCCCTGCCTCCTGGTCTTAATAACCTACCTGTGTATATATATATATATATATAT